AGTAACAGAAAACCAAAGAAGCAAGCTACTTGCACTTTTATTTCTTCACTTCCATTGCAACATGTCCAGATCACTCTTGTGGGGAGCTTCATGGGCTCCAAATAGCCTCTGGGATTCACGAAAATGGTAGAAATTAGAGTTCAAATCACCCCACAGGATCTCTGTGATGTATGTAGTGATCTTGATCGTGAAGCTAAAAGATAAACCCATTTACCCCAGATCTCCAGTTCAAGACCAGAACCTCGTCTAGCTGCTAGTGTTTATTCCGGACAATACAGTATATCGCAGAAGTGAGTACACCCACTCACATTTCATAAATATTTTAGTGTATCTTTTCATGTGACAACACTGAAGAAATGACACTTGGCTGCAATGTAAAGCAGTGAGTATACAGCTTGCATAACAGTGTAAATGCGCAGTCCCCTCAAAAGAACGCAACACACAGCCATTAATGTCTAAACCGCTGGCAACAAAAGTGAGTACACCCCTAAGTGACAATGTCCAAATGGGGCCCAAGTAGCCATTTTCCCTCCCTGGTGTCATGAGACCCGTTAGTGTCACAAATCTCAGGTGTGAAGGGGGAGCATGTGTTATCACTCTCAGTCTCTCAGACTAGTCACTGGAAGTTCCACATGGTACCCCATGGTAATAAACTATGTGAGGATCTGAAAAAACGAATTGTTGCTCTACATAAAGATGGTCTAGGCTATAAAAAGATTGCCAAAACCATGAAATTGAGCTGCAGCATGGTGGCCATACAGCGGTTTAACAGGACAGGTTGCCCTCAGAACAGGCCTTGCCATGATCGACCAAAGAAGCTGAGTGCCCATGCTCAGCGTCATATCCAGAGGCTGGCTTTGGGAAATAGACATATGAGTGCTGTCAGCATTGCTGCAAATGTTGAAGGGGTGGGGTCAACCTGTCAGTGCTCAGACCATACGCCGCACATTGCATCAAATTGGTCTCCAGGGCTGTCATCCTCTTCTAAAGATGATGCACAAGGCAAGCAGACTAAGGGCATGGATTTCTGGAACCATGTCCTGTGGTCCAGTGAGACCAAGATACACTTATTTGCTTTAGATGGTGTGGCGGCAACCAGCTGAGGAGCACAAAGACAAGTGTGTTGTGCCTACAGTCAAACATGGTGGTGGGAGTGTCATGGTCTAGGGCTGCATGAGTGCTACTGGTACTGGGGAGCTACAGTTCATTGAGGGAACCATGAATGCCAACATGTACTGTGACATACTGAAGCAGAGTATGGTCCCCTCCCTTTGGAGACTGGGCTGCAGGACAGTATTCCAACATGATAACGACCCCAAACACACTCCAAAATGACCACTGCCTTGCTAAAGAAGCTGAGGGTAAAGGTGATGGACTGGCCAAACATGTCTGCAGACCCGAACCCTATTGAGCATCTGTGGGGCATCCTGAAATGGATGGTGGAGGTGCTCAAGGTCTCTAACATTCACCAGCTCTGTGATGTCATCTTGGAGTGGAAGAAGACTCCAGTGACAATCTGTGAAACTCTGGTGAACTCTATGCCCAAGAGGGTCAAGGCATTGCTGGAAAATAATGGTGGCCACACAAAATATTGACACTTTGTACCAATTTGGACGTTGTCACTTAGGGGTGTACTCACTTTTGTTGCCAGAAGTTTAGACATTAATGGCTGTGTGTTGCATTATTTTGAGGGGACAGCACATTTACACTGTCATTTCTTCAGTGTTGTCAGATGAAAAAATATACTAAAATATTTATGAAATGTGAGGGGGTGTATTTGCTTCTGTGATATACTGTATATCTAGTCTTAGACATGGTTGTCCATACATGTTGCAAGCTTTCATTCCCATGTGCACTGACAGAGAGCAATTTAGAAGAAAATTAAGAACCTACAGTATATTTTACATAGAAATATCTCCTGCCAATATCAACACAATGTACTTTTATTTAACATGTTTAGGACTCTAGCCTAGTAAAGATTTATACAAAGCAATCCTCTATATAGTCTGCAGCACATTTATTAAAATATAGGTAACGGCAGAATTAAGGTGGTGCATGGACATTCTGCCACAGCATAATATTTCAAGGACAAACTAGAAATTTTTGGGCACCCATATGTACTAACTTCCTGTCCATTGGTCCACTTCACAGATAATATGAGAGGGAGGAGTGCACTTTTTATATGCAAAGGGGCATTTGATGGGAGGGGAAGAAATCTTGTCGCCTCTTTGACCTCAACGTGCTGGCAACAGATTGTTGATTTGATCCCTGGCATCTCTAGGGAGGGCTAGGAAAGACTCCTGGCCAAATCCTTGGGAACCCAGAGCTGCAAGTCAGAGTTGACAGCATGTACTGATCTTGATGCTGTGGTCTAACTCAGAATAAGAGTCCTATGTGCCTGTGTGAACAATGCACCAAGATAAAGCTCTTTTACTATGTTATTACTGTACCCTCTTGTTCAATCTCCTTTGTTCTGTCTCTGAATTTCATGGTCCCTTATAAAACCTGGCATTGATGTCTAAAAGTCTTCCTGTGTGGGACTGAGTAACAACCTATTGAGATGGTTTTGCAGTAGAATCCAACATAGAGGGAGAACATTTGGATTAAAATATCTCCCTTCCTACACACTTCCACCCCACACTATTATTTCACCAGATACATGTACATTTCCCAAGAGAGTTCTCATGGTGACGGGTAATTTAAGGGGAATGACACACCTAAACAACTTCCTTTTTGCCAGACTGCCAAGGTGTGGGGGTGCCATTCCCAAGGTTGCTAAACTGTTGGCTTAATCTACAGTAGAGGGCAAACCTTCCTGGATGACATCACGGCTGCTTCTGAGTGGCATGACTGCCCACCGTTCTTCTTCTTTCTCATAGGTGCTAGAGAGCTTGCAAAGAGCCTTTCCTTAGGCCAATTATAATGGCATGATGTAATCATTGTCCTATCTGAACTCTGTAACCAATCTGTATACTGTCCACTATCTGTAAGCTTGTAAGGTTAATAAAAGCACAGTCCTCCTGGGGGCAGGGCAGAGTTCATTGGGAACCCATTTGGTGTTATTTTGCCTTTTCTACTAGTCGCCCACCAGGAGCACTGCTGGCAGACATCCCTGTGTGTGTGGCTTGCTTCTATAACCTCTATCTCTAAGAGACCATTTGCTATCCTAATTATCTGGTGATCATCACAAAACCCATCAGCCTTCTCTTTTCATGAATCCAACACCAAGGAAGCAAAAAAACCCACCAGTTTTCATCTGCCATTCAAATAAATAACTTCAAAATAATTTAAGAGTGCACAAAACTTAGTTCTCAAATCACCTTGCTTATAGGATTTCATCATCTCAGTTAAAAGCAGTAATTGTCTCAGAATACTGAACCCATGGCTTTAAGCTATGAAAACCTATGCACCCAGAAAAACTGAATTCAGGTACCTATATGAACCATGCAGAACTACACAAATGTCCATGATTTACGTAGTGTTCAGTTTTGTTGTTGTTCCTGCTGGGTCAACTGTGTCTTCTTCCACAGTGTTCTTTCTCTCACCCCTTCCTATCCAGTTGCCATTTTTCCAAAGCTTGGAGAGTTACTTCTGAGACCAATAAATATAATGGCAAACTGATACCATGCATAATGGGATGCCAGAGCTCTTGCTCAGTCATAGATAGATTCAAAGTACCCTTATATCCATTTTTCTTACAATAATAATCTAAGAACTGCAGAGCTGAAAGAGACGTAACTTCCCAATCTCTCTATTTCCCACCCACTCCCCACAGTCCGTTAGCATTTCATGGTGGCTGAGCTTGCTTATGGAGCAAAGGAGGGGAGTCCTTAGTCCCCCTTTAGTCATCACCCTGCCTTTGCATATATTATGAGGGTATTTGCATGCACCAATGGAAGTTGTTGGGAGGCGGAGCCAAACTAGAAGGGAGGGGTGTGGCAGATAAGAGGAGTTCGCCCATTAGATAGTCAAGGGAAGTCTAAAGTGAGAAGCCAGTTAGAGAGTCAGAGAGGAGAGTTAGTCTGTGAGGAGTTAAGGGAGGCAGTTGAGAGTGTGGAACTTAGAGAGAGTTACATGTGAAATAAGTTAGTACGAATCTACTGAATAGTTTAAAGTCTTTTAGGAACCTATTTATGTAAAGTGTATCCAATAAACCTATTTTGTAATAATTTACATGCAGTATGCACCTCAATCTTTCTAAGTAATTATTGTTGACAGAGATCAACTGGTGGCAGCGTAAAAGGGAACATGGTGTGGTTCTTAGGTTAGTGAAATAATGTGGGAACACGCAAGGGGCACGCCATACACACACACACACACACACACACACACACACACACACACACACACACACACACACACACACACCAATAATTTTCATTTGCTGCTCCATGTATCGGTCTCCCCCAAGGCTAAGGTTACCTCTCACTGTAAATGAGAATCCCTTTTGGCTACATAAAAATAGTACTCTGGACTAAAGAAACATCACAGTGGAAATGATTTTTTTAAACAATCTGCCCAGAGGGAATTATTTTTAATACATGTCCAGAGGCGACTCGGATCTTGGCAGACACATTAAAATGGCATTTAAAAAAAAAATCTAAACTTAAACTTCAATGAACCACAGAAAAATGGTTTCTACCTTTTGAAAACAGAGCATAGATCAACAGCCCACAGCCTAACGTCATGTAGTTATTTTTGATATAAAGAATTTTATGGTGAATTTTTGGTTGATTGTTCTGTTCTTTTATTGAATAGCCTGCCATAATGTTTTATTCCTTCCCCCTCCCCCCAGATGAAATTTCCTTGATAACCAAGTAATGAAAAAGAGACTGAGGCACTGTCCTCATGTGCACCATTAGGCACCACAGATGCATGGCTAACTGGTGGATTCTGGGACTTGTACACTACAAAGTAATATTTTTGGACTTGAAATGTTCTTTATCAAACAATGCTATACTGTTACAAAGTTTTGAGGTTTACAGCAAGGACCCACCAACCTTTCAGCTTGAGGTCCACATTATGTCTCAGCCAAGGGTAGACTCCGTAACTTGATGAGTCTTCAGGAATTGGATTATTCTCTATCCATCCCTCACAAGCAAACCGGAAGAAATTATCGCAGGGATCCACGGAGGTATTGAGTTTGCTTTTGATAGCAGCAGCTGAAAAGATTTGATAACATTAAATGAAACATCTCTGGTATAGGAAAAGCTGTGATTTGTCATGGGATTAAAGACACGCAAATTCTTTCCTGATTTCTGGTTATCATTCTGCTTTTGTTTCTCTCCACACTCTACCCAATGACAGCATGTGCATCTCCTCTGGTATCTTTCCTACTTGTGATAAAACATGCCACCCAGCTCTCCTATTTTAAAACACACAAACTCAAAACCTTCTTTAACCATGATCACCTTTTAACCACTTGCAAACCTCACCCTCACCCTTGTCTTCCAAGACCCTACTGGAGAGGTAGGCAACTTTTGCCTCTCAAGACACTTTTGGACTACAATTCCCATCAGCCTCAGCTACCATAGCCAATGGTGAGAGTTGATGGGTATTGTACTCCAACATCTAGAAGGCTACAATTTGGCCACCCCATCCAAGAATATGCTCTCCACTCTTATTTTTTTCTTTTCTTCCAGCGTTGTTAGGTTACAATCTTATAAATTGCATACCTCACAACAGAGAAACCAAAGTAAACTTTTAACAAGCATAAAACCAAAACATAGGGTGCATTTATGAGTAAACTTTTACTCATCTGCCCTCTATTAGTACAATGTTGCAAGAGGGTGGTTCTGTGAACTATGTCCAACCAGAAAGTTGCTTGTCTATTAGGTGGATATGTTCTCTTGCTTGCTTCTTTTAATGGATGCAAGGAATTACATATCCAGGAAACAGTCTCATTACCATCCTCTTCACTTTGACTCCTCCAATATCTTATATTGCAAATTTTGCCAAGAATATGTAACACTCAGTTTGGGAACATATAGCATATATAACACGTTTGATGCATTTTAGAGATCACCTGAAATTAGGTACATATACTTAACGAGCTCTTTCATTGTGACATTCTAATATTTTTATGGAGGCAAGACAACTGCATTCCAGCGGCTATGTTCTTGTGCAAATCAATACTCTACAAAGGCAATTATAAAAATGGGAAGCCCAAACAAAAAATTATAACTTTGAAACCAGACTTTGGATCAGCACCAAATTTAGCACAGGTATAGCAGACACTCTGCTCTTTCTCTGTGCTGAATCTAGTGAAGGTTGGGCAACTGGCTTTCAGGTTATGATTTTGTAAAAATAAAATTGTCTCCCTTCAGAAACAGGCAACCCTAAAAATCCCCAGATTTAAAATAGCTCATATAAATTGGGAGGGGGAAGTGATCTTGGTTATCTTGAAAAAGAATGGTTGGGCTCGCCCACTTTTTTATTTGAAAAGATTCCAGGCTGCAGGCACTTAAATAGTGGTACTCAAAAGAAGCCTTTTGAAATAGGAAAAACAGTGAATTTGTTATAGTACAGGCTTGCCAGGAAGATAATACAATATACAGTATTGTATGGCTAATGGAGAATTATAGGTAAATAGAAGTTCACAGCTATTATGGATGGAGTCAAAATATTTTTAATTGAAATAATATCAACTGTGGGTCCTGATGGCAATTTTCAGAGTACTGTATTTTTAATTGTATTTTAATTGTTTTATCTTTTTATCTTTTGCATTTGTTGTAAGTTGCATTTGTTGTAAGTCACCCAGAGACCAGGAAGAAAGAAAGAAAGAAAGAAAGATAGATAGATAGATAGATAGATAGATAGATAGATAGATAGATAGATAGATAGATAGATAGATAGATAGATAGATAGATAGATAGATAGATAGATAGATAGATAGATAGATAGATAGATAGATAGATAGATAGATAGATAGATAGATAGATAGATAGATAGATAGATAGATAGATAGATAGATAGATAGATAGATAGATAGATAGATAGATAGATAGATAGAAAGAGAGAAAGAGAGAGAGAGAGAGAGAGAAAGAAAGAAAGAAAGAAATGACTTTACTTTAAAGAAAGTAAAGACAGTAAAAAGTAATTGTCCTCCAGAAAGGGAGACATTTTGCCATTAATCTCCTGGAAATTAGGATACTATTTTGTAAGGCATATTCAAAGTATTTTTGCATTACAAAAGCACATAACAGTTACGTTTGTCCCAGCCCTGACTTCTTTCAGTAAACATTCTCTCAGGATTTCTGAGACCAGCCCCCCCCCACAAGTTTTCAAAGGGGAAATCATCTCCAGATCTGGGGCAATCTGATCTTTTGAACCCAATCAAATCCCAATTGGATTTTTAACTCCTTCAATGGCCCAATAACCTTGTTAACTCCTTCAATGGCCCAATAACCTTGCAAAGGTATTCTGTGTCTGGTTGCAAAAATATTTTAAAAGATATTTTAAAAACACCAGAAGACAAATGTTCAGTGCTCACTCTTTTAAGCTGTGAAGTTACTGGTTTTTTTTCCTTTGTGACTGCTGATTGTCTTATTCAATGTTAACAAAGCTTTGGTGTCTATATCCTGTCATAGTCTCAACCATTCCTGCCATCTTGTCAGAATACAATTGTTTGGTAATTTTTAAAAATCCTCAAAAGATGCTATAAGTCATCAAGTGACTTCTGATGTGTGGTGACTATATGAGTTAATGACCTCCCGAATGTCCTATCATTGACAGCTCTGCTCTGCTCTTGCAAACCGACTACCATTCACACATGTTGAAAACCAGCCCTGACAATTCATTTGTTTGGGTAAGAAATGGTTAACTGATGAAAAAAGGAGTCCGCTTCTGGGATATTTTCTTCCTTGGCATCACTTTGTGAATGGTAGTGACCACAATAGACCATCTTAAGCTGCCATTGATGTTATTAACATACAAGCTGCCCTTTACTAGGTAAATCTCGACATTCTTTTTTCCTACTGGCAATGTGGGCAAGATATTCTGCAGCATCATTGAGCCATTTCCTGGTGATTTGAATCATAGCTACCATGCCAGAATCTCGTTCGTTATTGGAATTAACCAGACAAATCACTCCACCAACTAAAAACATCTTAATCATAACTACAGAAGTACTGTACAATATCCCACATTCATAAATCTGAAAATTTTTGAATAATTGAATTTAACATTAAGGTGTCTTAGATTGTGATCTTCCAAGTATGCTAGAGTTTATAAGGCTGCTTACTGAACTCCAGAAAACATACTGTAAATACAAGAAAGAATATACATTACTCACCAGCTTCAACACATTCCGGAGTCAAGCAATATTGTTGCTTAGAAGGAAGTTTTATATGCCCTTGGCTAACTGGAAAAAGAAAAAAAAAATAAACAGATCACTGATTCTGGACAAATTTATTTCCTTGATTCCAAATCATCAGAACCTCTGTGACTATGGAATATTTCAGAAATTTGCATTTCTAAAACAAGCAAGCAAACAAACAAACAAATAAGCAAACAGAGAAACCCATACTAGTCCATAACTGGAGGGAAAGGCAGAACTCATGAGCATTTTACAGTATCTTACAGATTGCTGAACTGTATACAATAGAAACTTCTTTAATACAGGTCATCTTCCATGTACAGGTGCTTAGGCAAGAGATATTTGTTTACCTCCCAAGTTACACTTCCAGTATATTTGGCTGTCATCAAGAAAACCAAAAGAATGTGCGCCAAACAGAACAAGTAGCTGCACCCTAATTATTGAGCTATTCAGGAGCAACTGTACCACCAACATAATAGGTGGGTAAACCCAGAATCAGATTACTAGTCAACATACTGCAGCAACAGAATTAGCATGTTTACCTGACATCTTGTCTCTTTTTCCAGACAAAGGCTCATACAACAAATAGAAATTCAGAAAGCAGGGAGAAAAGGAAGGAACAGCACCCAACAGAAGAGGGTGATGCAACTTCTGGCTTTCCAAGTATTGGACTACAACTCCTACAATTCCTCACCATTGGCTATGCTGGCTAAAGCAGATGGGAGTTGCAGTCCAGCAACATCTGAAGGGTCACAAATTGCTCATTCCTGAAATAGAACACTATTAGGAATTTAAGGGCTGAGCTATGAGAGGAGATAAAGGAGGGACAGCAATGCAGTTATGTCCTGTAGCCTTCAGTTATGTGTAATTTGACAGATAAAGCAAAAGGGAGATTCCGTCAGGGTTATGGGACCCTGGGTAGATCAGATGTTGAAAGGCCTGATGATGAGCCCTCAGGATCCAAACATGGTGTGTGATTCTGGTGAGAAGGGTGGCAGGGTCAGGGAAGAGGCCATTGGTACTCACTAAAACCAAGGAAATGAGACCTCACTGTGTAAGGGTCATGGGCAAATTTACACAGTTGCCATTTCCCAGAGCAGCCATGGACTACAATTCCTGAAATCTCCCCTCCATTATATCTACTGGCTATAGTGGGCTAGGAGTTCTAAGTGTCGTAGTTTTAAAACTAACATTTCCACAATCTGCTTGAGGCATACACTATAATGAGCACAAGCTCTGTTTTCCCAAATACAGAGAACACTAAGTATGTATGCCAAAAGGACTTGAAATTAACCATATAATTTCCAAGTACAGTGCACCGACTTGGTTGTATGTGAGAAGACAGAGACAATGTAAACACAAAATTTTGTAATTCATGAAGTGGTTCTGAGAACATACAAGCTTAATGTTAGGGAACACTGAAAGAGCCTCATACTCTGCTGGGAATGTAATGGTTAAGGAGGGATGAACAGGGCTTTTTAATGTCATTTTTAAATATAAAGATTGTACTTGTTCAACTTTTTTTATGTATTGACATTTAATATATATTATATGCATCTGAATCCTGAGCTTTTGGAATCAGGATGGGGTAAAAAAATTTAAACAAATAAGAGAGTTAGCATGGCTAAACTGAGTTTAGGAACTAGGAAAGCAGCTATGGGCAACAAGGAGCTTGACCCTTTACAGAAGGGCATTTGCATTAATGACTATGAAACAATGTAGAAATAAAATGTCTTCAGGTAAATTATTCTGAGTGGGAAAACATCCAGCTGTAAAAGGTTTAAGAACCTCTTCCTCCATCACTCAGAACTGCAACCTCTGGAGAATGCTTTCTAATAAAAAATGTTTTTAAATGCATGCAATATCCAGTTTGCTGCTTATTCATCCTGTCTAGTTTTATTGTATTTTTCCCCAGATTGATAAAACACATCACTAAAAACCAGGCATGTTTCTATTATCCAAGCAATGCCCTCAGCTCTCTTGGGGGTCTCATGAGAAATTGATGCATGAAAATAATTGCTTTTAAGCAAAAGTCATGACCATGAAGAAACTTGTAGGTATATATTTGCAGCAGTAAGCTCAAAAAGCAGAACCAGAAGTTTGTGTGGCAGCTAGTTATCTACAGCAAGTTACTTTTTAGGCAATGAGGGAAGACAAACTTACATTTCAGAAGTAATGCAGTGCAGAGCAATGGCTGTCACTTTTAGTGCCTTCCTGTGTGAGTGTGTAATGAATAACATTTTCCTTATACCTTCTCCCAGCTCCTGCCAAACTAGCAGTTTGAAAGCATGCAAATGCGAGTAGATAAATAGGTACAACGGTGGGAAGGTAACATTGTTCTGTGTCTAGTCGCGCTGGCCACGTGACCACGGAAACTGTCTTCGGACAAAACACTGGCTCTACGGCTTGGAAACAGGGATGAGCACTGCACCCTAGAGTTAGACATGACTAGACAAATTGTCAAGGGGAACCTTTACCTTTACCTTATACTCTTGCCAGTTATTTTAGGGACATTTTCAAGACCTTTTGATTGGATTTTTTTCCAAATTTTTATGCCATTTTCTTACCAACTTAGTATTGGTTTTAAAAAAGGGAGAAAAGAAAAAAGAGCAAGCTAAATAATAGGCAATAAATAAGGCTCTGAAAACAGCAGCTGTCTCATAGATGCATCCAATTCTTCTGACCACTTAATGAGGGCCCCTCTTGTGTCGGCTGCAATGGGTGTTATAGGAGCAAGGTCCACAAACACATTAAAATTATTAAAATAGATCTTTAAAAACAAAGGTAGATGGTCACTTTCTGCACGATATACTACGTTAAAATCATGTATTCGATCCATCAATGCTCTTGAGTTAATTCTTAAGTACTATAACACATAATAACAAAATATTTCTTTCCACTGTATTGGGTAACATTTGGGAACAAATCATTTTCAGCAGAATGGATGTTAGGATCATTATAATTGAGTAGCTCCAAGAGTTCATCTTAGAACCTTTGTTAATTTTGTTTAAAGATTAAATTATGCAAAATATATGTATATAGACAAAAATACTGCTTTTGCATAGGTTTACAATGCAACCCTATATCTATCTGGACAGAGAAGTACATCTGATTGAGTCCAGTGAGGTTTTATTCCCAGGTAAACTGGTACAGGATTGCACAGCCTTAGTCATAATTGTGATTTCTTGGGTGTGGAATATGTATAACGTAAGAATAGGGATTGAAATAATCTGTTAGAAGTTTACCAATAGGAGTGATCTTGAAAGTAACTTTCAAACTTATCGTTCTGTAAATGAATGAAAATAATACCTTTTCCTAAGACAAATAGGGATAGTTTCCTAGGTCACTATACAAGGATAGGCACCTATTTCTACTACACACCTTAGCATTACATATCTATGCTACAAACTTAGAGCTGATTGTGGATTAGTTTCCTTGACCTCCCTAAAGTACCTGATCCAGGCAATGAAAACACTGAGGATTCTTCAAGCAATCTCTACCTTCTTTGTTCCAGGTTTCCCTAGACAGATGATATAGTTCTGAAATGAGCATAAATTGGTAGATAATGTCACTGTGATACCTTAATATATCTGACCTTTTGGACAATACATTTTTGAATAATTATTTGGTACGTAGATATTAGCCCAAATCTCGTTGCTTAGCAAAGCAAATCACGGTTGAATGGGCCCATTGAATCAAGGGGAATATAATAAATCATCTCCAGCTGAGCAAGTCACAATTAGAGTAGGCCCATTTGAATCAATGGAACATATGGAGGGATTTATTCACTAAATCTCCATTGATTGAATGGGCCTACTCCAGGGTGATTTACTGTGCTAAGCAATAAGATTTTGGCCATTAACAAGGAATCCCATGGCGCAATATTTCTACATAAAGTATGCTCAGTTGCATCCAGATGTTTTGGAAGGAAAATCTACATCTCTACTGCTTTACTTCTGATTAACATATTAGAGCATGAGACTCCACCTCCCCTCAAGACTCTGTAGCCCAAATGGCAATATTTTCATTATCAGAAATGCGGGCTTACACAGTACCAAATCAGCTGCAGAACATTTGGGCATCCAGAATTACAATAAAACTTGAATGGAATGTGCACACCAGACTGAGCTCTTTACATTAATGCTCTTGGAGAGACATAGGTCACTTTTCTTCTTAATGACATGTTAATAATAAGGGTTATGTACAGGTCCCCAATCCAGCCCATATCTTGCTTTGGTCTGGAATAATTCATGTCCCATCCATTCAATTTGCCCCACACCTGAATCAATTTGACTTGCATTGGAAATGGCTATAACATTTTTGGGTTTTGTGCTGATGTAAATGAAATTTGGAGTAAATATGCTAAATTTCAGACAGTTAACCACAGGAGTTTCCATACTAGAAACTTTAAAATTTTGCTTTTAAAGAATTTTAATAATTTAAAATGTTGGGGGGGGGAGAGAAAATCTGGCCATTCCACTTCAATCTGGACTTACAACAAATTGGTCTGAATCAAACTAATAATTTGGAATTTGTTATTTACAAGAATCTAGTGCACAGTCCTATTCATGAACATTTTGTCTTACTGATTTTCAGTGATCAAGCCAAGTACACCCTATCTGGATTTAGGCAATTGATTCTTCTGCCTTTTGCTACTGTTCCAATTAATATTGCTACTAAATCAGGATGTATCATATATTGCTAAAATTAATTTTATAAACTTTATGCTGCTTTTCATCTTGCCATAGATACTTTCAATTTGAAAGGTGAATTATAAATGAATACACATTTTATCTTGCTCCATCTTTACATAGTTAACTGAAGCTGCACTATACTTATTTTCCTGGAAGTGAACTCAGTGGGGCTTACTTCTGTGTAAACATGCATCTGATTGCATTGCTAATCTAGTATCATAATCTTCACAAGAGTCCTAGAATAGCAGGGCAGAAACTTTAAGACTTAATGTCATCTTTGACATGGAGGCAATATCTTCCACCAATGCAACTTTTCAAGAAGTGAATTGTTATCAATGAAGGTTCACGCTGTAATAAATATATTCCTCTTAAAGATCCCACAAAACTCTATATAATTTTGCTGCACCAGGCTATCACGGCCACCTGTGGGAAACCTGTTACACAGAAAAGCACCAGATTTCATAGGAGGGAGTAGAAATCCACCAGTCTCTTATATTACACCATGCATCTGAAAAAGTGGATTGTTATGCATTAAAGCTTTTGTCATCATAATTCTGCTAAGACCCAAAGGTGCAGCAAAATGTCACTGCTACTTTCAGCTTGTCAGAGCCTGCGGGGAAGGGAACATTACACTGTGATCAGCAGAGTTAACCAAACATCCAAGTGGGCAATGCCAGGCCTTTGAAGAGCTTTCCAAAAGGTGTGCTTATGCTAATGCGAAATGTTGAAACTTACCCAAGAAAAGTGCAGTGCCAAGCACGACCGTGGTACTCGCAAACACACCAAGGGCTATCTGGAGAGGTCTGCTAGCTGCTCTCTTGTTGGCTGGCATTGAGCTCCCTGCTGCCTCAACTTCCATCAGGCTGGATTTGCAAAAGCTGCTGAAAGAAGCCTGCTTTTCTTCCTACTGCTCTTTGTTACTATTCATTCACAGAGAGGACCCGTCCATGAATGTCCTTCTCCGATTTCTCTTATTGGGTACAGCCCATGCGACTGTTAGAACCCATTCCCAAGGCCCCCGCTCATTCCCAAACGGCTGGCTAAGGAAGCGGCATGAAAGGCTGTCTTCAGTTTCTTCTCTGACCAGGATTTGGAGAGACTCGTAGCAACAACTTAATTTATAGCTCTTGCTGTGTGCAAGCAGATCACTTTTTTTATATATCAGCAGTTCAGGACAAACAATTTCACAATGTGGCCCAAACAGCTGGTTTCACTATTCCAACTTCCACTCAATAGAAATAAAAATGAATCAATTATTCTAATCAAAAACTGGAGTTCTGACAAAGTTTTTGCAGGGACTACACTGACAGGCGTGTTTTCTTGCACTTATTTAAGAGAGCTAATTATCGGCTGACCACGACTCATTTTTAATCCAGCTGCACCATTTTTCTTCTCTGAGAACAGCATTCTCTCTGAGGGCAAGTCTTCTTTTAAAGCCTCTGAGGAGCTGTTGGGATGTCTCACTGGGTTTTATTTTGGGAGGTTTGTGTACAACACCAAGTTCCAAACAGAAGAGTCATGTGTTATGTGAAGGCTAAGCAGTTATTAAAACAGCCTACAGAAGGGTTTCTCTCTCTCTCTCTCTCTCTCTCTCTCTCTCTGTGTGTGTGTGTATCTGTGTGTGTGTAAAAAAGGAACCCATATGAGCACGTTATATTTTAGTGTTTGTGGTGCTTTCCTGAGCGCTGTCCAAACATAGTGTTCTATTCTGAGAAGCTGAGATGAGCTACCCTTCTCCAGACAACAAGGATACATAAAGGAACTGTGTTCTTTGATGAAGGCCCTGGGTAGATGAGTGGTAAACTAGGATTTCATATTTTTTTTCAAAAATTAAATCTAAAAGTAGTTTCTGAATCATGGAGGATGCTCGCTGACCGGGCATTCATACCTCTTTGCTTTCTGTTGTTTCCTGATGGAAATTTTGAGGGATTTACCAGGAATGATATCCTGACCGGGAGTGGTGTGGCGCTAAATCTCTTATCTGCTCCTTTCTTTCTTTCCTTCTTTCCTTCTTTCCTTCTTTCTTTCTTTCTTAAATTTTTACCCTACCATTGTCCTTAAAAAGGATCCAAGGCAGCAGCTTACATCATTATAAGACTACGTTTAAAACTTTTTTGGAAAAAAAAGTATACAAAGGCAGCTTACATCATTAAAAGACAATGTTTAAAACTAAAAACAATAAGTATACTAATAATCACAAGGATCAAACAAACACCACTCTGAAATGGTAAACAAAAGCAATACTACAAACACATTCAAAGCTCCAAGGCACTACAAGCCATTTAAAAATCCCACACAGGCAGCCAGTCACTGAGGGAAAGCTTGCATGAAGAGAAAGGTCTTTGCCTGGTTGCTATTGGGCAAGCCTGGCTTCCTGTGGGAGGGAGTTCCAAAGTCTGGGAGCAGCAACAAAGAAGGCCTTCTCCCATGTCCCCACCAAATGCACCTGTGAAGATGTTGAACTAAGAGAAAGGCCTGTGTGCTGCGCCAGCTGTTGCTTCCTTGTGCTCATCCTGCAATAATATTGAAATTCTTGAAAAGTACCACAGAGTTAAACTGTCTCCCATAACAAAGTAGAATGAATGAATAATTTTGTGAAGATGAAAAAAAAACCCCTGGGGACTCACGAAAAACAATGGTCTGAAACAAAATAAGAGGTACATCATTTAAACCTCAGGAAAAACATGAGTATGATTAGTGCAGAATTCAGAACAGACCAGTGTTCTGGATTATGCCAAATGCCCAGTAAGTTAAATAACCATGTTTAGCATCTACTACAGTCACTTGATAAACATTTGCAGAAACAGTGTCAGCTGGACCAGACACAGAAGACAACCACACACTATGTTACATCAAGCACCACTTCCACAATCACAACTCCAAAAATTGCAGAGCTGGAAGGGACCCTATGGATCATTAAATCCAGTCCCTGTCAAAGTGGCACAGTCGGGAATTGAATTCATAACCTCTTGCTCCACGGCTAGACACCTAAACCACCGAACTATCCAGCAGTTCTTATTGTTATTATACTTTCTTGTTCATTCTTGTGCCTTACTCGTTTATTTCTAAAATTCTAAAGACTCAACATTTTCCGAAAAGCTATCATATGTATAATCATATATTACATATGTATATATATACACACAGGATGGCTCTTCTCCCAGGAGGCAAGGTTGGAAATTAAACTCTGAACCTCTGGCTCTGCAGCTGGATACCTAAACCTTGAAGCTATGCACAGTATGACATATGGTAGTGAACTGCCATGAAATTCAGAAATCTCTATAGACATAACCTATTGCGTAATGAGTTGCATGGCTTGGCATGCAACGGAGAACACCTACAGAGATTTATTAACTTATGACCATTCATGTCTAAAAGTGATGCCATTTGCATAACTGTGCAAAAGGATTTCAGCCATTGTAGTGATCCAGGTTGGATGAAAGATCAGCACATAATACAGTGTTCTCTCCTGCCACATGAAGCCTAAGGAAAGCAAGGTTTGTCATTAACAAAATTATCACATCTCATTTCATTAAAAAAAGGGAAGACTGTAGATTTGTTTATTTCAAATACACACCTCTGATCTATCTCCTAATGTATTATAAATCCCTAATCTCAGATGTTAGAAGAGAAGGCTGTGCTAAGCTTGAGTGGCAAGAGAATGGCAGAGACCCTTTGCTCAGAATTATCTCCAGCATGATTTTGTATCTTTTCTCACTGATACATTCTGTTCTGTCGTTTTCTGCTGCTGTTTTAAGTTTTACTACAAGGTCAGATTTAAATTGCTAATTTTATGGGTTTGTCCCTGTCCTCAGCTGCCTTGAACACTTCAGAGGAAAGGCAGTAATACACAAATGTGTGTGTGTGTTTTTTTTAAGCTAACCAAATAGCCTGCAGCTGGATGCTGGCATTGAAAGAAAGTTGCAGAGCTCAACCTTGGCTCAAAGCTAAACTTTGCGCATGCCACCATCTGACACGGTCACCTACTCTCCCAGAGCCTTGAGCTGAAAAGGATGGTTTTAAAAAGATATTCTCCAAATAGCTTCCAACCTATTTATTTGCTTTGCAGTGCTCCATTGGCTGTATGGCTCACAGTGGGTGGCTGACCTTGCATTTTGTATCACCCTTAAATCCTATCGCAAGAACTATTCTTGTCTCAACCTATTTGTTCTGTTCCTTACTGCAGTTATGAAATGGAAATCTCTCTGCCCCAGTTTCTTTTTGAAAGAGAACTCTAGTAAAATGGCTTGCTTTCACATCTTCCCCCCAAATCAGATGTTGATTCCATAAGATGAAATTTTTTTTTCAAGACTATGCTTCTTTGAGGGCAAGGGGTAGCCATTTTGCCATTTTCCATGATTGAATTGGGTTCTATTGCAAAAGGGCCATCCTAAGTCCTCACAAGTGACTCTCCATATCATGCTGCTGATGCTGATGCTGATTCAGTACTGAAATCTTTGATGTATTTATGCACCACTGCTGGCTGTATTGTTGCACTTCTACAGAGAGTTTTTATTTAAGCATTAAAAAAAACTTCACTGCCATTTCACACCATCCGTATGACATTCCCCTTGTTTCTGTCAATACAGCACCTGAAATCCAGTAGTAAGTCATGAGTAGACCCATTGAATCAGTGCAGATTTGATGAGTCAACTCTTCTGTAAGTTCCATTGGTTCAGTGGGCCTACTGTAGTTGCAATGTACAGTACTAGATTTTGGGCAGTGCTTTTTCAGTGACTTTTCATTCTTTTTTGTCCCTTTTGAAAAAATGTTTTATTTTTAGTACTATTTTGCGGCGGGGAGTGTTTTGGAATAGATGGGCATTATGGCATTTCCATTTGACACTGATGTCTGCAGTGAGAACCATCTGAAGTTTTCCATTAACAACCATCTCAGAGTTAGAGGGGGGCAGGCTCCAACAGAGGAGAGGATTTCTTAGACATTTCTTATATTATTTCTTAAAAAGATGATTTCTTAAACAGAAATGGATTTTAAAGAGAATACTTGATCAACATTCCTGCTAAGTTTCTGTCCCACTGTGTGGGAACCTCGCTCCACTGGGAGGGGGAGGGCAGACAGGGCTTAATTTGAAATGGGAAGCAAAGAAACCAGCTGCCAGCTGTCCATGCTCAACCCCAACAGAACTTTAGGCAAGTCTGTGCAGCTTAGAGAGAACATTGGTCTTGATGTAATCCCTGTGAATTTTATGCTTCTTCAGCACAAACCAGAAGAGGGACAAGTGCTCCGTCTGAAAGAGCCCTCAGTGGGTAATGTATGGGAATGTACAATAGTTGTCTGTACCACTCCCCCAAACCCCCAATACTATGACCAGAGGTGTCTGAGAAATTTTGGGAGCTGCAGTCCAAAAAATAGCTTTTCCATGTTTCAAAATTAGCTGCCCTCTTGCATATCAACAAGTTTGTTTTGTGCCTCAAAAAAGTTCAGTGTTGTTTCACCTATGCTGAGGCTAATTTTGGAAGCAACCACAAACGAACGGAACAGCAAAAGTTGTCACTGCTATCGTCCCATGCAGACATGCCATTGAGCTATGAGGGAACGCCTACGGAACTTCCACCCAGATGTGAGAAATACTGGAACCATGAACGTATTTCCAGTCTCAGCATAAGAAGGCCTCATATACTCCCAACCGGTGTCAGTTATGCTCTTATGACCCCTTGTTTGTCAAGTATGTTAGAGATATCTGGAGATGAAAGACAGGGAGATTATTAATAAAATATGAACAAACTGACTGTGCCAGCATGCTGAAGCAGCCTCTGACAGCTCCCGAAAATGTTTGTTAGGACATGAAAATCAGTTTTTCCAAGGACTCTCGAATGCCAGCTGGAGGTTAATATTACAATCAAAGAGACTGCCACTGGGAGCAAAATGCTTCGGCCCACATAGGCTGCTCAGTATTTCACATCCTTATTTGTAGTTGGCAAGGCACCTTCCTGGGAGTTGCAATCAAACGGGAAGTGCTGCAAGTGTGCAAGTAGCATTTTAACATTGCCCATTAAATTTGACACATTCCTTTCCACGCACATTTACAACTGCTCCCTTATTCTTAATTCTCAAGTAGAAAACTGGAACAAAATAACATGTCACTAACTAGTCTGAGTCAACCTCTGCCTTAGGAATCTACTCTGCCAAGGTAAGGAAACTGCCATGTTATACAGTATTTGTGTCACCTCGTGAACATAATAAAAACTAGTGTTCAATGCATCACTTGGAGATCTGTGCAGAAAATGTACAGCTAACTTGACAGCAAAAGACAGCCCCCCGACCGCAAATTAGAATATAAGACTTTAGCCATCTTGGCCTTCACTTTAACTTTGCAGAACAATCCCCGGTTTGCTGGGACTATGTTTTTCTCCTCCTAAAAAGAACTTGCAAAAATAAACCCCAAAGGCTCAAATGGTGATC